GAGGGGAACTACAGTTCCAGCTCAAAGGAAGAACCACAGCTCCAGGTCACAGGAGGGGATGAGAGTCCCAGCTGTGAGGGAGTATCCTGATTATGCCAGTCAGTGGAAGACCCACAGCTATAAGTGGCAACATTCACTAGATAGGGGATTCTGAACTGGGTAAGCATGGAGAAGGTGAGCTGAGCACAAGCATGCAGCATTCATTCTCTCTGCATTGAAGAGATGTGATATGACCAGCTGCTTCAAGTTCCTGCTGCCTTCATTTCCCCACAATGATGGGCTGTAACCTGAAATTGTGACCAAATGAACCTTTCTCTCCTAAGTCATCGAAAATGAAACTGTTCATTACCAATGCAGTGTTTGGAGTGGTAGTCTGGGGGAATGATTGGATCATGAGGGCTCTGAATTATTCCACTGATGAATTCATAATTGATTGGATTACTGGGATGTGGTGTAAACTGTGGCTAGTAGGCCTCTTCAGAGGAAATGGGTCACTGTGTGGATAACTTTGGAATGTATATCTTGTCCCTTGTCTTTCTCTTTGCTTACTGGCTGTCATAAGTGAGCAGCTTCCTATGTCACATGCCTCTCCTGCCTCAGCACAGGCCCATAGCAATGGAGCCAACTGCTGACTATGGACTGAAACCTCTGAACTGTGAACCAAAATAAATCTTTCCTCGTTACATTGTTTACCTCAGATTTTTGCCACAGCAGTAGCAAATTGATATTGCCACTCAACAATGTGTATGACACTCCTTACTTTGTCCTGTTTGGCCACTCTCATTTCACTTCATGAAGGTGATATTACCATTTTATAGTGTAAAAACAGGTAAAACAAGACATTAAAAGAGGTCAGGGACTTCCCAAAAGTAACAAGCAATTTAGAGCTGGTTTATTCATTACTGCCCACTCTTCCAGGGTGAGTTTTCAAAAGCTTCATTGTTCCTTTCCTATTGATGGTTTCAATACATTTATTTTATAAATAGTGTTCACTGAATAATCCCATTCATTCAGTGAAATTACGGAATTAACTTTCCTTAGTCCTTCTTAATTTCTCTATTATTCACTCATCTCCCAAGAGCAAATGGGATTGCTTTCTCCATGTTCTCACACATTTTTCTACTACGATATTTTACTATTTGTCCCAGTTTCTTAAATTGAAGTATCTCAATTTAAGTCATACTTCTCTGATTTCTTGTGAACTGAGCATTTTTCAGAGTTTTATGAGCTGTGTCATTTTTAGGGTGTTGGCTTTTTGCATTCGTTCAGTTTTCAGTTGTTTTTCCTATTGATTTGAAGACTTACTGAAGACACTAGAGAAACAAGGCAATGGCAGAAATTCCTAAGATAAGGCTGACCTCCACTGCTGGCTTCCAGCAGAATAACCAGACAGACCTGTTCAGTGGGATGGAGCAGAGGAGTCTGCCCAGTGAAGGGCTAGAAACTCAGGAAGCAATAGTTTGTGGGGGCAGGGGCTGTGACTGCCAGATGGGGTTGAGACAGTTTTTTGTTCAAGTGAGATATGCTGCTCCATGTTATCTATGATACAGGGATATAATGAGAATAAACATGAATTAAGTGCTTAGAATGAGGACTGATTCCTACGTACTTTCTCTTCAAACTTTTATTGAGAGATGTTGTGCCCAGATGCACTTGATATATGGACTTATTGGAAAGTTGACTTTTTTTTCTAAGTTGAAGTTTAACTCAAACTGGTAAGATAGTCATGGAAATTAGAAAATAATTGACCAACAGAAAAGACTAATATTACTGCACAAAAGTCAGCATTTGCTTGTCAATTACCTGTTTAGAAGGGAGAATATTATTTTACCCTATAAAATTAAGAAGAATAAGAAAGGATCTACAGTCTTCCCTGCAGACTGGATATGGGTAATTTTAGAGTATGCAGTCCTGGGCTTGAATTCTGGTTTTGCCACTTGTATGTCCTAAGATATCTTGTGTGTCTGATTCTCAACTTGATTCTGATTGTTGATTGGAGAAAATGATACTGTTACTTAGGGTGATAATGACAATTAAGTGAGATAATTTTCATTACCTCATTTCCCCAGAAGTATAGCCACATGTGTCATTTAATGATGGCAACACACTGAGAAATGCATTGTTGAGATTTTTGTCCTTGAGTGAATATTATCTAATGTACTCACAAACTCAGATCACTCTGATGTCACTAGACAGTTTCTACATTGAAATTGTAGAATTCTAGAATGATTCAAGGATGTCATTTGAATATTTAAGCTTTTAGAGGACACATTTCTCAGCAATAAATGGAAAGATCTTGGGTTTTCTTAAGTGTGTACACATTGTTTTGAGACAAACAATGAGGAATTTCAAATAGAATTTGCATAATTACGCTTTCTGAACTCACCAAGGGAGACAGCAGTTGCTACTGCCTCTAACTATAGCCATTACTGTGGAGTTGGTTTCATGACTGGGATCTGCATATGTTCTTGTCCTTAGATGACAAATGAGAAAATGGAGGCCAAAGGGGTAACTGGTGTGGCATGGGTGGACTTGGAGCAAAGTCAGACCAAGGTTCAGGGTTTCTGACTCCTGGTCGAGGGCTGGTTCTCTCAGCCTTACTCTATGATATACTGGGTTCATAGCCCAGTGTAGTCTTCCTCAGTCTGCACAGGGAAGAATGTCAGGAGCCAGCTTACTGAGTCATGTTGCCATGGGAGCAATACTGACTGAAGTTCCTAGGTTACTGCCCCTGCCACTGAATTTACCCATAATTTACTCTTTGAATCACTTTATTTCCTTAACATAACTATCTTTACAACAAAGTGATCAATTACTACTGTCTTGGTATTATGTCAACTCAGGAAAGAAGACAAAAATATAAAACCTAACCAGGAAGCCTCCTCCCTGAAGACTAGCTCGTATAGTATCAGAGGATACTATATAAGCTGCCAAGGGAGAAAACCAATCAACGGTACCAACTGTGAAGCCTAATAAACAACAATGACTCCCCCAGTAAACTGTCGCTAATGGTGCAGTAGTGGCACTTTTTCTTGGAAGTAATCAACAGCTGTCTAGTTGGAATTCTAAGGCCTGATCAATGGGAAGGAACTCGTGTGTGGTACTTATAAACATAGCTAAATACATATTGCTGGAGAGGTCATAGAGCATAGAGAAAAACCTACTTTTGCCACAACCCTAGACCAACGTAATTTCTTACTTTATTCTACATGTGCACTCTCATATTTATAGACAAGTGCACCTTTCACCTCTCATCAAAGAAGCTTCTTTTTGCAACAGATGAAGACTATTACAGAATTCCACAACTGGTCAAATGCAGAGAATTAAGTGTCTATTAGACACTTAACCTTAAATGACACATCTTCAATGCAATCTCTACATTTAGGATGAATGCATCTCTTAACTCTCACTAGAGACATTTCCTTATACAGCAGATAGTTATTAACACAGAGACCCATACTTAGTCAATGTGCAGAGAACAAGAGGCCACAGAGTACTTATTCCTGAATAAGACACCTGTTTCAAACCTCTGCCTCCCAAGGCTCAGGGATCACTGTAGAAGAGAAAGAAGAAAGATTGTGTAAGTCGAAGGGAGTAGATGACCACAAGGAAACAGTCTTTCACAGCTGATCACTTACTCATGTGAACTCAAAAATGCTGACAGCATGCACAATTCCTATGCAAGCTCAGACTAGACAAAATCCTAGCATAGACATGGGGAAGTGGGTAAGAAATCCCATCCCAACTTGCGGAATTTTTGGCAATTGATGGCTGCTGGGAGGGGGAAAGACAGTGTCTTACAGAGTTTGCGATTCTTGGAGGGCCCAGTGAATGATTTCACACTGAAGGACATTGGATTGGGGGACACAAATCAATACTCTATAGTACATATAATTGAGTTCATTAAATTGGGCTGGGGGCAGTTGGGGGAGGTGGGGAGAGGAGACAGATTAACAGCCATCAAACTATATTGTATGAAAAGTACAAAAATTCTATTAAAAATGAAAACAAAAACAAAAAAAAAAGTTTCTGCATAGCAAAGGAAACTATTAACAAGGCACACAGGCAGCCTACAGAACAGAAGGAAATCTCTACCAGCTGCACTTCATACAAGGGGCTAATATTCACAGCACGACAGTAGACAACTGCAAAACTGCCGGATGTCGTGGCGCACACCTTTAGTCCAACACTTGGGAGGCAAAGGTAGGCAGATCTGTGAGTTCCAGGCCAGCTGGGGCTATAGGAAAACTGTCTCAAAAAGACAAAAAATAAAACAAAACCCCCAAACCCCAAAGAACTACAAAACTAAAATTACCAATCAATAAAAGGGTTAACAAATTTCAGAAAAAGAAATACAACTGGCCAATAACTATTTTTAAAAGTGTTCAAGATCTCTAGTCACCAAGGAAATGCAAATTAAAACTATTTTGAGATACCACCTTACTCCAGTCAGAATGGCTATCATTGAGAAATCAGACAATGAATATTGGAGAGGATGTGGCAAAGAGGAGCCCTTATTCACTAATGGTGGGAGTGCGAATTAGTACAGCCAATACAGAAATCAGCTTGGAAGATCTTCATAGAGCTACCATATAACCCAGCTATCTCACTCCTGAGCATATACCCAGAGAACTACACACCCTAGGATAGAGACACTTGCACCCCCTTGTTCATTGCTGCTCTATTCACCACAGCAAGGGACTGTAATCAACCTACTTGTCCATCAGCAGATGAAAGGATAATGAAAATCTGGTACATATATAAAATGGCATATTATTCAGGTATTAAGAAAAATTAAATCAGAAAATTCACAGCAAAATGGATGGACCTGGAATGTGTACTATTGAGATCACCCAAACATAGAAAGTAAAATGTGACATATTTTCTCTATGTCATTTATAAACAAATATATGTGTGCACATGCTTTAATATTTAGAATTGAGAATACTAAGGGGTAATAAAAAATAAAACATAGTAAAAACAGAATTGGAATATGTAGGTACTTTTTTATTAGGGCAAACATTTCCATATCCAGAAAGAGCTCATTTAAATCAAGTAAACTCCAGCATGTTTGTTAAATAGGATCCAAAACGAGTATTAGTACAATTAATTTAAAATAATACTTCAGCATATAAATCAGAGTTTTAAAAATCTTTAGTACTAGGACTTGATAACATAATTTTCTAAGCAAGTGACTAATAACTAATGTGAAAATCACCATTAATACACTGACACAGATATTACAGTTTTTCATGGGAAAGAAATGTACTTAATTTCATGAATCCCATTTGACATTCTGAAATAAATTTTACTGGACAAAAAAGAAGAAAAAAGGAAAGAAAAATCCCAGGAAAAGACATAATGAAATAAGGTACACATATTTATTAGCCATTTAAAAATATGGTCACAAGCTTAGATATGTGCTATCCTCATTTCAATAAAGGGTTGTTTTACAGAAGAGGTTTTCTGAAATGAAAAATGAAGACCTTGAAATAGTGACCAGGTAGGTATCTTTGTTACATACTAGAACCAAATACCATTATTTTTAGGTTGATAGATTATTTTTAATGAATGACAGATTGTGAAAGGGGATGGGGAAAATGAAATGTCATTTTGGAGGCAGAGATGGGTTTAATAAAAGGGACCTAGATGGGTTTAAAAGAATACACGGGACACAGCAAATTAACTTACCACCTCCTTCAAATAAAAGTGAGAACAGCTCTCTTGGGAGAACTTAAGCACCATCAGGGGACACATCTGACACCAGTTAATGACACTCTGGCATTTCAGTAGAAAACTACTTCAGTGGTGAAAATGATGTGGGAATCAGGAGCATATTCTGCTGAGTCTCTAGGTAGTTGACACTTTGCCGAACTGAAAAATATTTCACAGGACAGAAAATTATTGACTCAGTCAAATTAGTTCTAACAATATCCATGCCTAGTGAAATAGCTCACCAGCAGCCACGACTCTGGGATCCTCGTGAGAAAGATGTCTCCCAGCTGCACGACTATCCGCGCTCTTGTTCCACCAGAGAACATGGACTGCAGAAACAAACCAAAACTGTTTCCAAGGAATAAAACGTTAACATAAGAAACACAGAGAAAGGAGTTGAAAGATATCCAACTATTTTAAGCTAAAATAGTGGTATCAAGAGACTGATACTAAATTACTTCACTGTTAAGATTTTGGAGGCATCAGAGAGGCTTGGGAGAGAAATTTATAAATGAAATAATCAAATTGGTTTTACTGATGAAACACAGGAGGCTAGAACAGGGAAATAAAACAGCTACAGGCATTCAGGACCACAACTGCTGACTTTCTACTATATTTTACTTTATTTTAAAAAGTATGATTGCAAAATACTGTGTTTTATTATAGGATATTTATATGAAGCAAAGAAGAAATAAAAAGCATAACATTGACACCTAGCGAACATTTCTAATATTCAGTGTATTTCCTTTAAAAACACGAGTAAAACCATCCTTAGTCATAGATTATCTAAAGTTAATAAGAAGTCTTTTCTATGGCAATAATATTAATTGGTTTTTGTGTTTATGAGAGAGGCCTCAGTCATAGCCCAGGCTAACCTTTATTACGTAGATCACACTGGCCTAGGATTCATGGCAATCCTCTTACCTCAGCCTTCTGAATGCTGAGATTGCAGGTGCATATCGCCAAGCCTGACTTAATTTAATATTAAACAGCAATATGAATTCCTCTTTAGAGATAAACCAACTTTTTATACTAACCCTGATTGTTGATTATTTATACTATTTTCAATATTTAAATATTTTTTAAGATATTGTAATCTTCTTATGCAGAATTACTATTTATAAAATGTTTATAATTGCAATGTAATACATTAGAAATGTAGGAAAATGCAAAAAAACATACAAAGAAATGAAAAGTAATTTCTGTACTGATCAGAAATAACCACTAGTAAATTGGATGTACCTCTTTCCATATTTGGGATATATATAATTTTAACGTTAAACAAAACCATGCACAAAATATGTAGAAATGTTTATATAGTATATGACATATATGAAATACATTAGTTTCTGTATTAAGAGTGAATTGCATAAAGGCCATGCCACACTGTTTCTAGTGTTTCCTAATGCAAACAATGCTGGCATAAAGTTCATCTGAGCAAACCTGCATGAATATTTAGAACAATACCAATGCTGATGGCAATCACTACTGACATTTAATGGGTGATTACTATGTGCCAGGCCTGATTTTAAACACTGTTTATGAATTAACTCATTTAATCTGCCTAATAATCTAAGTGGTAGCTTGTTGCTATCATTATTTTATGGATGAAGACATGAAAGTACAAGAAGGTTAACTTGCCCAGGGTCACAAAAGTATTAAACAGTGGAGCTGGGATTTAAATCTAGGCCATCTGGACCTAATTATTTCTTTAACAAAAACTCCCAAACTTAAATTGAGAGTACCAAAGAATATACTTCTCACGTGTGTATAATATATATGACATGTATACCCCCCAAAACACGTAGGCTTACAAATATACTGTATATACATTATATACTGGCTTCTAGAAATGATATACTGATTTCTACTCAGCATAATATATTCAACTACTATGCACGGAAGATAAATTTAAAATTAAAGTACAAGAACACACAGTTTCAGGTGTGGTTTTCTTTTCTTTTTTTTAATTTTTCTTTTTGGTTTTTGAGACAGGGTCTCCCTGTAGCCCAGCTGGCCTGGAACTTGACCAGGTGTGCCTCAATCTCACAGAGAGCTACTGGCTTCTGTCTCCTGAATGCTCGGATTAAAGTCTTACGCCACCACACCTGGATGGGAGTCATTTTCCTTATAAGAGTATAAGAAAAGTATAGAGTAAAAAGTATACTCTATAAAGTGTAGAAAATTAAGAGATAGTTCTAAAATACTTTAACTCTTCATTTGAATATGATTACCTATACTTTTTCAACTTTCCTGTAAAGCTAAAAACACCTACACATGCAACCCCTGCATGGTCCCACAAGTAATATGGTCAAAAGTAACAAAAATAATTAAGCATTTTTATTTACTTGGCCAAATTTGGGGAGGAGAGATTAATGAGCCCTATATGTCTGCATACATGCTGCTTCCTCATATATTTAATATGATTGCTGATATCTAAGCCATGTTAGCATGTTTATATTAAATAAAAAATGGCTATCTGCATCTTCTTTGGTACATATTTGGTAGTCATCTTGTTTCTACCTTCACATAAAATATTATTTTCCTTTTAAATTTCTTTTATGGCTATTTGGGGCATGTAGAAGGTTGAGGCCTTTGTATAATAAAGCCATCAGTGATTTTTTTGCCTTCATAGGTTTTTTTTTTTTTTTCATTTGCCTTTTGACTTAGAAATATAGTCTCAATCTATATTAAGTTCATCCATATTTAGTTATTTATTTTAAAACTCAATGAATTAACTTGTAATTAAAATCTATCTTGATTTTATTTTAAATATCATACAGGATAATTGAAATCTATCTTGATTTTATTTTAAAATATCACATAGCATAACTGTCATAATTCTCCATGTGTTTTCTATATAACTGTTTCTGTATATTTTGGATGTTTTCTTATGACATACAGGTTGAGTATCTACATTCCAAAATTCAAAGTTTGAAATACTCTGGTCTCTTGCACTTCAGATAAGGGATACTGGACTGTATTACTGAGAGAAGCATTTCTGTGTAAGGGTTATGAGCTCTACACTATGTTAGGCTGGTGACAAGGCCTGGATGTAACAGATGCTAAGAAGGTAACTGAGTATCACAAGTCATCCCAATAGTTACTAGCTATCTCTAGTCATTTATCCTTTTAGATAAACTATACTTTTTTCAGGATTTTCCATAAAACTTGAAATTATGATATGTTTAAATAAAATATTTTATTTATTCCTTTTATTTTATGTGTATAAGCATATTGGCCACATGTATTTAAATGCACCTGTGTCACGCAATGCCTGCACAAATCAGAAGAGGATATTGGATTCCACTGGAACTGGAATTATGGATGGTTGTTAGCTGCCATGTGGGTGCTGGGAATCTAACCTGGGTCCTCTGTAAGAGCAGCTAGTGCTCTTAACTGCTGAGCCATCTCTCCAGCTCCGAAGTTCTGATTTTAGTATGTTTCAAATTTGAAAATTTAAATGTTCTAAATATGTATTTTGTTAAATAATACTATGTATAAATTTACTAAGATAAATGCACACATATAAGAAGTAGTGAAAATGGGTAGATTTTTATGGCAGATATGTTAATATTTAAGAGAAATATGTTTTTACTCAGAAACAATCTCCATACCCCAAGTAATATCATTAAAAATTATGCTGTGTTGGTGAGCCTTCAATCCCAACTCCTTTGTAGGCTGAGGCAGAAGGATTGTAAGTTCAAGACCTGCCCAGGCTATAGAGCCAATTCAAAGCCACTCCAGGCAACTTAACAAGACCTTGCCTCAAAATGAAAGTTTTTCTGTTCTTTTAAAAAATTACTTGTTTCTTTCTTTCTTTCTCTTTCTTTCTTTCTTTCTTTCTTTCTTTCTTTCTTTCTTTCTTTCTTTCTTTCTTTCTTTCTTTCTATTATTTCCCCCTGGGGCTGGAGACAAAGGATTAGATAAGAGCTCCCAAATGCTTTTGACATTTTTGGCCTTTGGAAGAGAGTATGTTGCTAAGAGGCCCAAGGTCATTCTGACTTTCAGCCAAGAAACTGGCTATTTTTCTTTGGGGTCTTTTTACCCTAACTTCTCAGGCAATTCCTACCTCCTATTCTTATTACACCATCCTCTGAAGAAGTTACCCAATGTGGCGATAGAAAATCTGGACCCAGACCATTCTGGCTTCTTCCATGCTGAAGAAGGATGCAGGGTGAAGCAATTGGGGTACCCCTTCAGTTGGTCTATCTAAAAGACTCCCAAACTGCATAACTCTTATCTGTAAGGGGAAAAAATAGTCCTTGACTGGTGAATAGGGGATATGAAGGAGAAGTAAAGGCAATAGTAGTTAGCATTACAAGTTCTAGACAGAGAACCAGAAAAAGTCAGAACAGGGCAAATTTCAACTATTCATATCAGAGTCCATTGGGATTTCTTGACGAGAGCTTCCAAAAGCATCCCTCTATTGGGTTCCTCCTCATTTTTCTTTTGTCTGCCAAGGCTGGACTCTAAAGTGATGGACTCATGATTTGTTTTCAGGAACTATGATAGCTGTTGGAGTGGTTAGAATCAGTGTCAGTTCCCTCTCTAAGGCTTCTAGATAGGGGGAGAAAACAAATTTATCCATCATTTTAGAACAAATAATGGGTTACTTCCCTTAGCTACAGATGAGAACTAAAGTACTGCAGACCAAGGTTTGAAGTCTTACATCTGAGCAGCACTTTCTTCTTAGAAACAAAATAATGAGAAATAGTTGTCTAGCATTTTATATGGACTTAAGCCTAATGTCTGGGAAGTGTAATCAATTGAACTCTTAAAGAAATATACTGATCAGGGCTGGAGAGATGGTTCAGCAGTTAAGAACATGGAGTATTCTTGCAGAAGACCTGGGTTGTAATTCCAAAGCCCAGGTGGCAGCTAGCAGCTGTCTGTAACTCCAGTTCCAGGGGATCCGACAGTCTCTTGTCTTCCACAGGCATTGTGTGACATGGGTTCACTTACCTACATGCAGGTAATACAGGCCTACATATAAAAATTAAAGTAAGAAATAAGGGGCTGGAGAGATGGCTCAGCAGTTAAGAGCACTGACTGCTCTTACAGAGGACCCAGGTTTGATTCCCAGCAAACACATGGTGGCTACAAGCTGTCCTTTACTCCAGTTCCATGGGAATCCAAAACCCTCTTCTGATTTCCATGGCATTGCATGACATGGGTGCAACTCACATACATGCAGGCAATACACTCATACACATAAAAATAATAAATAGGACCCCTTGGAACTGGAGTTATAGATGGTCATTAGCCACCATGAGGGTGCTGGGAATCAAACCCAGGTCCTCTGCAGGAGCAGTCAGTGCTGTTAACCACTAAGCCATCTCTCCAACCCCTATTTTTTTCTTGTATACATTGGCACTCTTAAGTTTTCATTTCTAATAGGAAGAGAAAGCAAGCAATGCAATAGAAGTGACATTTCTAAGTTTTAGAGAAACAAAACAAACAAACCTAAAACTATGATTTTCAATGATGCCCAGATTTTTAATTACATATTTGAAATGTGTATTTTATCTTTTGGACAGAAATATAGATCCAGCAAAGGGAAAGAACCAGTTTACAAATAGATTTGAGAAGCAAGGGAAAAACAAGAGTTACTCAAGAATCATGAACAGAAGAGAACTGGTATCTGACCCTGTCTGAGATGACAAGTGTTTCATTTAGATAGTGTAGAGCTGATAGGTGGTCTAAGTGGACAGGAATCCAAGTGAGACTTCTCAAGTGTCTGTATAGTGTCATCTAGAACATACCTCAAACTTGAAAGTAATGGAAAATACATTCAAATTAGCTCGTTTTTCTAACCTAACCTTTGCTTAAAGTTGGATTGAGGAAATAGTGGCTTTTTTTGTTTGTTTTGTTTTTTTTTTTTAAAGTAAGCAGGAAGTCAAATCAGCAAGAAGATTTTTTAAAAATTATTTTCAAACTGAAAAACAAGAAAGAGGAAGACACAAAGTTAGACTACAGTAATATAGTCTGGCAATTTCACTTAACCAAATCTTCAAATGATCAGTTGTTTAGGAAAAAGTGAACTTAGTGATTTAAGATGGGACATTATTTATAGAAAATACATACTTGAGGATTTCTATCATTTTAAAATTGTGACAGAAGATACATGATTGTTCCCTCTCCACTCATGGTCCCGCTCTCAAGGTGCAGATTCTCTACCTTTACTGACCATGGAGACTTGTGTAACAGAGCTAAGCTTACCAATCCATAAAATCTCAGGTTGGAAGAATTCTTCAAGTCTTACTCTTTAAGGAAGGCAAAGAGCTTCACTTTAGTTTTATCTCAACAATCATTTATGGTCATTTATAAAAGAAAGGATTATTCTCATCCTGGCCCTGAATTACTTTATAGCTTAACATCTTTACTATGTTAAGTCACAAAAACTCACAGAGGCTAAGAGGAAAGACTCACCTTCCCTGGCAGGCTTTCCTATTTTGCACCATGGTACCAGGTAGGTAATCTCACTCTCTTGTTTATCAATGAGAGCCAAATTTGGAATGAGGAACTGTTCTTACCATTCCTTATCCTTGGCCAAGGCTTCATGAACTGCAGTTCGATGAGCAAAATTATCTATGGGAGAAGAGAATTGAGAAAGTTTAAAAAATTAACTTAAAATCATCTAGTAAAACCAGTAAAGCTTTGTCCACAGCATACATGACTACTGAGATAT